TCAACTTGCAACCTTTAATTTAACGGATACAACACCAACGTTTAAATATAAGGGCAACGGGCCCCCAGGGCAGCGCCTGGTATCTGGGCAAGCGCCGTGCGATTGAGCTGCTGGGCGGGGCTGTCTCCGTGCTTTTCGCGGAGGGCGCGTCGGACTTCTACATTTTTCCCAAGCGTCGCTAGCCATGGCGCGCGCCGACGGCCCGGCGAGGTAGGTGCCGACGCGCGCGCTGCAGCGCGCCAACGCGCGCGTCCACGGGCATCGCCGCGCACGGTGTTGCCGCCGGGGCGCTACTCAGGCGGGCGGTGGGCAGCGCCGTGTGCACGTGCTCGGCTACCGCCGCCCGGCGATATGCCTGCTGGATGCGGTGTTCCGCGCGCTGCCGGAGGCGCCGCGCGACGACGACGTCTTCGAGTTGAGCACTGCATGTCGCGCGGCAGGAGCTGATGCTGCTGCTGCCGCCCATGCTGGCGCCGACCCTAGTCGCGAACCTCAGGGCCAGATTCGCCTCGGAGATCGCGCGCAGCGACCCGTCGCGCCTGAGCGCGGCCTCGGTCGTGGCCTACGTGGCGCAGCCCGCGGCGCGTGAGGCGTTGGGGCACCGCGTCCAGCGCGGGTGGCGCGCGCAGCTGCGCAGCAGGGAGGTCGCCTACATCCGTGCGCACGCGCGCCTGGAGGACAGGGCCTGGCTGCAGGACATCGACGCGGAGCTGCGGCCGGGCGGCGAGGTTCCGCGCTGGCGCCTGCGAGAGGTCTTCGACGTGCTCGAGGTATGCAGTGGCGCTTCCTCGCTCTGGTCGAGCGCGCGCGCCGCTGCCGGGCTGCCGGGCCGCGGGTGGACCCGCCCGTTCTGGGGCGTGGTTGCAGTTTCTGGTGACCAACGACCGGGTCGCCCGCGTGCGCTGCGCCCCGCCCTGCGCCACTTTCTCGCTGGCTTGGCAGCCTCGCGGTCGCGTCCTCTGGGGCCGAGCCTGCAGGGCGAGGCCGCCCGCCTGGGCGCAGAGCTGTTCTTCCGCGCGCTGCAGACCCTGTGGGCAGTGTGCAGGCACGGTGGGCGCGGGACCTTGGAGAACCCAGCCGTCGCCTACGCATGACACGTGGAGCCGCTGCGTTCGCTGTTCGGCAAGCCTGGGCGCGGCTTCCTGGACAATGCCGCCCGGTCCTACAGCGCGCCTTCCAGGAGCCAACGCGCCTGGGCCTGGTCCGCGGCGGCTACCTGCAGTCGCTGGCGCGCCCGTGCTTGCGTGGGCGCCAGGCCCATCAGTGGCCGCTGGTGGGGGCCGCCCGCGCGGCGCTGGCCGCCGCGTGCGCGGAGCAGCCGTGCGCCGCTTGGGCCGAACTGACGCGGGCTCAGCAGGCCGCCGAGGCGCCCCTGGCCGGCCCCGAGCCTTCGCAGCCGGCTCAGCCAGGCGCCTAGATCAGCATTTCGTCAACGACCTGATCCTGCGCTGCCAGCGGCGCGCGTTTCGCTGCGAGCGCGCGCGGCGGCAAGGGGGGCTCCTGGGGCCAGAGCTTTCCTTGCTGGGTTTGACGGTTGCCTTCGGAGCGTGTGCCAAAGGGCGTTCAGCATCGCGCGCCATCAACGACGACTTGAAGGTCGGGCTCCCAGACATCCTGGGCTACGACGTGTACCTGGGGTACGACTTCGCGCCGCGCGCCAGATCTCTGCCGACGGGCAGTCTCGCGGCCGCGGGGTCGCGCCACCTTCGGCCGGGCCGCCCGCGTGGTGGGGGCTGTCTGAGGCGGGCAACATGAGGTATTTGGACGACTGGACTCGCGCGTTTAATCAGGCGGCGCGCGGAGTCCGAATGGTGCCGCTTGGCCGAGAAGCTGGCACTGATGTGGGCTCTGATGGATATTCTTTCGGCTGGCAAACTGCTGGCGGCATGCATCCTGGCTTTGGCGCTGGTCAAGGCGACGGGCGCGCAGACCGCGCGCATGAGACAGCTGCTCCTGGCCGAGTTCGAGACGTGGCTGATGGCCCTGGACTGCGGGTGCTCCGCGGCCGAGCTGGTGGTGCAGCTACCGAGGGTTGTTTCCAGCATCGTGGCGTCCTATGCCCAGGTGCTGTACTCCCGCAGCAGGAGCCTCGAGCACTACGCGGCGTGGGACGTGTCGCAGGCGTGGCGGCACGTCGTTGCCACGCGCCACCGGTGCCCCACGCCGCTCCCGGTGCTCCGCGCGCTGGTGGCGCTCGCCTGGGGCTAGCTTGATCTGGCGGTCGTGATCTTCCTGGCCTTCGCCTGCGTGCTGCGGCCGGGGGAAGCGCGCGGCCTGTGCTTCTCGGACGTCCTCCTGCCGTCGCAGCTCACGGCCGACAGCGAGCTCTGCTGCGCGCGGGCGCGCGAGCCCAAGGCGCCCTGGGCCGTGGCGCGCCTCGGGCACGCGAGATGCGACGAGTCGCGCATGGTTCGACTGCTGGAGCTGCTTGCCGCCGGCCGGCCGCGCGAGCGACGGATCGTGAAGGGCAGGGCACGTGCCGGCAATGTCGCCGATGCCATGATGCTCTAGTGCAGTTTTTCGGCATCGCCGCGACAGAGGCCCGCGGGCTGACCCCTGCCTCTTCACCGTGGAGGTGGGGCCACATGTTTCTTCCAACAGAGCGAGGACTTGCCTCGCGCGCAGTGGGGGGGCTCTGGCGAGCGCTCATATCCATTGAGATCTATATTCAAGAAGTGGCGGCTGTGACGTTCGTGCCGAACCTGTCGCAGGCCTCGCGAGAGCTCGCGGGGAACTTCGCCGCTGCGTTGCCCGGCCTGCTCGCGCGAGCTCGGGGCCAGCTCGCGCGTGGCAAAGTCTGAGTGCTTTCAAGTTCTGCTGCATCTCACGGCCCAGTTGCTCGCGCGCTGCCCCTCGCTGCTGCCAGTGTGGAGGTGTGGGCAGAAGGCCTCTCTATCTTGATGCGATGCCGAGCTCAGGTGCCGGTGGCGCGATTGAGCGGCTTTCGACGAGCCGGAGCCTCTTGGGCGCCGAATGAGAATCGCTCGAGAAGAGATGGATAGCCTGACTCGTGGGCTTTCGTGATGTCGAGCGCTGGCCTCAGCCGTCACCCTCCCTCCTCCCCTCGCCGCCAGAAGGCCTCTCCATCTTGATGCGATGCCGAGCTCAGTCGCCAGCGTCGCGTTTTGCGGCTTTCAACCAGCCAGAGCATCCTTAGTGCCGTTGAAGAATGGTGCGAGAAAAGGGTGATAGCCTAAGGTAGGGAAGCGATGCACACGATGCGCGCATATGGGAATCTCTGTTTCGACTAATTGAATGGCTTCCAGAACGCGTCGGGGGCATCGCGGATCTTCTGTGAGCAGGTGCCCGTTTCATCTGCGAGTCTAGTAATTTGGCTTGCAGCCCGGGGTACGCATAGCACTAGGTAGCTGCAGCGTCGTGGAGTCGTGCGTTTGAGTCAGTTCCTTGTCAAACAGCTCAATATCAGGGAAGTGGAAGAGGAGGGAGAGGGTATCTTGGAGGATGGAGACGGAATGCGATACAAATGATACAAGAGAAAAGCCACATCAGATTTGTGTTTTGGGCTATGCGGCTATAGGACTATAGGGCTATAGGGCTATGGGGCTATAGGGCTACATGGGCTATATGGCTATTGGGGTATAGTGCTATAGGACCATTGGGCTATTGGGGCTACAGGGCTGTAGGGCTATAGGTCTATAAGGCTATAGGGCTATAGAGCTATAGGGCTATAGGGCTATATGGGTCTAGAGCTATGGGGCTCTATGGCTCTAGGGCTATAGGGCCATAGAGCTATAGGGCTATAGGGCTCTACGGCTATAGGGCTATTGGGCTATTGGGCTATTGGGCTATATGGGCTATATGGGCTATATGGGCTATTGTGCTATGAGGCTATAGAGCTATAAGGCTATAGGGCTATATTGCTACAGGGTGCCCGGGCACCCCTGGGCACCTCCGGGCACCCCCGAGCACCCGGGTGCCAGGCCACCCACGGGCACCCGGGCACTTGGGCACCCGGCCACCGGCCGCCGACATCCTGGGGCACCGGGCACCCACGGGCACCCGGGCACCCGGACACCCGGCCACCTGCCACCAAATCGGCGCGCCACCTCACCTAACCATATCAATCCGCTAGGACCCCCACAGAGGCAAGCTCTGATTGGGGAGCAATTGGCGCGTACGGTGGTGGGACGATCAACATCGTTGCCGCGTGATAAGCCCCGCCGCAAAGATATTTGGACGTTGCACGCGCGTGGTGCGCTTGACAAAAGTATGACCGCGAAACCCAGGGCAGTGGTGGTGGTGCTTATGGTGGCGGCGGCAGTGGTTGGCTTTGGTGTTGGCAGTAGGGGCGGAATGGGGGGATGTGCTAGTGGTGATTGTGTTGTTGTAAGTGGTGGTGGTGGTGGTGGTGGTTGGCGTGGCAGTCGTGGTGGGATGGGGAGCGGTGGTAAGGAGGTGAAGGATAATGAGGAAGAGTGTCAGGAGGGAGGGGTTCAGGAGGAGGAGGAGGAGAAGGGGGAGGAGGAGGAGGAAGAGGAGGAGAGGAGAGGAGGAGGAGGGAGGAGGAGGAGGAGGAGGAGGAGGAGGAGGAGGAGGAGGAGGAGGAGGAGGAGGAGGAGGAGGAGGAGGAGGAGGAGGAGGAGGAGGAGGAGAGGAAGAGGAAGAAGAGGAGGAGGAGGAGGAGGAGGAGGAGGAGGAGGAGGAGGGAGGGAGGAGGAGGAGGAGGAGGAGGAGGAGGAGGAAGAGGAGGAGGGAGGAGGAGAATGAGAAGGAGGAGGAGGAGGAGGAGGAGGAGGAGGAGGGAGGAGGAAGAGGAGGACCAGGAGGAGGAGAGAGAGGAGGAGGAGGAGGAGAGGAGGAGAGGAAGAGGAGGAGGACGAGGAGGAGGAGGAGGAAGGAGGAGGAAGAGGAGAGGAGGAGGAGGAGGAGGAGGAGGAGGAGGAGGAGGAGGAGGAGGAGGAGGAGGAGAAGGACGAAGACGAGGACGAGGACGAGCAAACGGAGCGGTGATGGCGGTGAGTGGCCTCCTGCCCCGCCAGGAGATCTCGCACATTACCCTGCACGCCTGCACGTGGCGCCCACTCTTCCTTACGAGCCTGCTCCTGGCCGACAAGATGTGGGAGGAGCCTCCGCGGCGCCACCCGCGACCGCGACCACCGCCCCACGCGGTGGCATTTGTGTAGTTGTTTGTGTGTTTCGCCTGAGGTGGCGGAGACCTCCGCCTCACGCGGTGGCATTTATGTTATGTTTTCTGTTGTTCTCCTCCTCCCCTCTCCGCGAGTTTGGTGGAAGAGGAGAGGGGGAGAGAGGAGGAGGCGGTACAGGAAAGCGCGGAGAGGAGGGGTAAGGAGGCGGAGGAAAAGATGGAAGGGATGTGGGAGAGGAGGGGGTCCAGGGGGAGGCAGGGAGGGGAAGTGCTGTGGGGAGTTCCGATGCGGGCGCGGGACAGATACTTCAGCCCAGGATCACGTCAAGGGTTTCTTCCACAGACGGACGGATAAAAGCGGAGGAGGGGGAGGATGAGGAGGACAGGGCGGCCGTTCGTAGCTCTTCTGCTTCTCCTCCTCCCTCCCCTCCCTTCCTGCTCTCCTCAGCCCTCCCCTGGTGCTCCCCCTTCCCCCTTCCCCCTTGCGCCTCGAGGTGGTCGCGGTGACGCGGGGAGATGGGCGGGGCCGCCGTGCGTTTGCCGAGGACAAGCCCGTGAGGAACAGCTCCCTGGCCAAACTCTTCCCGGCAGGGGAAGGGGATCAGGGACAACCTTAAGGGGGATAGGTTCAGCTGGGGTTTCATGGATAAACAGTCGCCCATTCATCGCCGATAGGGGCCCGGTACCGCACCCCGCGCAGGATCGTGTTGTTTTGTAATCGGGGGCCTATCGCCGATCTATCGGCGATTTATCGCCGATTCTAGGTCGATGTTGCCCCCCTGAATTGGTCCCCCACGATCGTTCCCCCTCAAGGGAGCAGGTGCGAGGAGGCGGGGGGTCGGCCACGCTCGGTGGCGTCTAAGAGGGGGGTGAGGACGCTGTCGTTGGCTCTCGGAGGGGATTCGTTATTGTAGTGGCCTCTGGCCAGTGCCGCCGATCCGCGGCGCTTTTGATGCTATTGTTGGGATGGACGATGACGACGGCAACGGACGACCAACGGTCGACGAGTGGGATCATTACGACGACGACCGACGAACTGGTTGACGACAACGGTTGACGACGACGATGACGACGACGTCGACGACGACGACGAGCACGACGTCGACGACGACGACGACTGACGGCGAACGGCTGCCGACGGCCGACGACGACGACGACGACTGACGGCGAACGGCTGCCGACGGCCGACGACCGACAACTGGTGACGACGACGGGTGGAAGGTTTCCCTTCATCGTTTTCGCTTCCGAGCAATACAAAGTCATGCCATGAACCTCTGGCCTGGCAGCGCGCGAGCGAGCGCCTCTGGGGGCCTCTTGGGGGCCTCTTGGAGAGTTCTTGTGTGGGGCGAAGCTCTGTAGGGAGGGGTGTAGGGTAGGGGCGATGGCCAGGAGAAGGATGGGGGAGGGAGGGGAAGGAGGAGGGAGGGGGGAGGAGGGGGAGGGGGAGGACGAGGAGAACGAGGAGGAGGAAGGGAAGGGGGAGGAGGAGGAATCTATGAGGAGGAGGAGGAGGATGAGGAGGAAGAGGACGAGGAGAAAGTGGAGAAGGAGGAGGATGAGGGACCCTGGAGTAGGAGAAGAGGGGGAGGATGATGAGGAAGAGGCGGAGGAATGCCTCGCACTGTTGGAGGAGGATGAAGATGAATATAAAGGTGAAGATGAATCTACATATAATGATGGTAATGATGATGAATATAAAAGGGGCTCTTCAGTGTTCGTTGGGATCTCGTGGTAGGTCCCTCGGGGGCCTCGGCATCCTGGGGGCCGTTGTGGTGACCCTCGGGGCCTCTTTTGGGCCTCTTGGGGGCCTCTTCTGGGCCTCTTGGGTCCTGCTAGGCTACGGGCCGCTTGGGGGCCTCTTGGGACCTCTTGGGACCCTCTTGGGGGCCTCTTGGGACCCTCTTGGGGCCTCTTGGGGGCTTCTGGAGGCCCAGGGCTCGAAAGTTCCGTTCGGGTTCCCCTTCTGGCTCCCCTCTTGGAGCCATCTTGAGAGCCTCTTGGGCAGTCTTGGAGGTTTCTTGGGCAGTCTGGGGGCTCTCTTGGGCCGTCTTGGAACCATTTTGGGAGCCTCTTGGGCCGTCTCGGGGCGATCTTGGGGGCCTCTGGGGCCGTCGTGGAGCGTCGGGAAGCCGAGAGGGCGGGAAGGCCAGGTTCCTTTCAAAACCATGTAATTTTTGATGATTTTGGCTTGTAAGGGTCCTCTTCTGAGGGCTCTTGGATGCTTCTTGGAGCGTCTCGTTGCCTCTTGGGCCATCTGGAGGTCATCTTCGGCGTCTTGGAGCGTTTTTTTGGCGTCTCGGGGGCTTCTGGGGCCGTCTTGGGGGGTCTTGGGGCCCTCTTGGCCCGTCTTGGGGCCCTCGCGGGCCCGGAAAGGATTCTAAAGCGAGCTGAGGGACGTAAGGAGCGGAATCGAGCGTGCGCCCGCGGCCGCGTCGGCTCAAGCGGCCGGCCGCCCAAATATGACTGTGCCTCATCGCGAGGCCCACAATCGCTATCGATACCAAAAGGATTTTCCCAATCCTTAAGAAGGCACATCCTCTCCTACTGGGACTATCGTTACTACGGTACAACAGAGCTGGAGCTTGGCTTCGCCTAAGGCGAAGCTGTTTGCTGGGCCTCCCAGCCCCCTTCAAACTTGGTAGCGGAGCTGGCTTATCGTGGTCAGTTCTTGCTCTACTCCTCACCATCCACGGCACTATCTGGTGGACTACGGACATGGTGGAACATCAGGGTGCAGTGTGTTTGCGCGGAGGAATGTATATAACTACGCAATATCGCAAGGACACTTGCAGCGATACCTCTGCTCAGGCGGAGGTCTCTTACTTACATCCTACATCCCTGCTCTTCTACACTCCTGAAGTCCACCCACCTACTCCATTTGGAAACTTCTTCGAAGATATGATGCATGGAAACATGCGATACGACATATTGCCGCCTCCAACCCCACGCAGACTTACGACTACCCGACGGAAGTCCCAACCGACTACATCCGACCACGACCTACGAGGCCATTGGATTGGTGGTATTATCTTTGGGCTCACATGGGTCGCTATCGGGTGTGCGGTCGGACATTTGCGTGGCGGAGACGACACAAGAACGACCGGCCCTCACTGGAACCCAGCCGGTCAAGTACCTTTTCGCGAATTTGTCCGCGAAGTACATGCCTGGATCAACGTCACCACAGGCAACATGACGCCCTCCCAGCAGGCTGCAGCTCTGCAGCGAGGTTTGGGAGGTCTTGCACGGACCATAGCCATGAGAGTCCCTCCAGGAGTTATCAACTTTGGCGTCAACATAGGTGGCCGCCATACTGACGGTGTCACGTACATCATATTCCTCTTAAGCACGGAGTTCGAGAACTTAGAAGAGGAACGCCAACTCAACTCCTGGTACCGCTCTCATTGACTTCCGAGTCCATGCGGGAGAACGCATCGACCAGACGTTAGCACGTTTTGAGATAGCCCGCTATGAAGCTCAAACAGCCGGCTTCAATATCCCCAACATCAAAAACTTAGCAACGATTTTATTCGGAGCTCTTGGAGTGGGGACATCGCGTGCACAACAATTCCTGCAGCCTCTAAACCACCACATGCCGAGAGACCAACAACAATTTGACGATCTACTCGAACGTATGAGGTCATATGCTCACATTGCTGAGAGAACCCCGGGTAATATTGGTGGTATCTTCAGTCACGGTCACCGAACCGAGACCTTTCGCGTGGAGGCTAACGCAGGGCAGCCTGCCAACAACGCCTGGAATGATGATCCACAACCAATTGAGACCACTACACTGCTGGCTCAGCATGGTGGAGCGGCCTCGGGGTCGCAAGACTCCTGGGCCAGGCTTCGGGGACCGCCTGACGCGGTATCCCCCATGCAAGCCATGGCCCTAATGGGCTCAGCGGGGCAACCCGCCGAGTCCGACTTCGACTCTGGTACTGATACCGATGCGTCTTCAGACGATGAAGCCACAGCCCTTGACTACTCGGATATGCCTACATACCTTACGGAAGAGCAACGAGCGCAATGGTCATTTTTAGGATACCAAAAACAAAGGCGTCGACGGCGGAGGTCCATGGAGAAACCAGTCCGAAAGGTACAGCGTATCGCACGACGAGCACTGAAAGGAAAGGGCAAAGGTCGAAATACATGTAAAGGCAAGCTTCGGCGATTGTATGGTAGAGGCCTTTTTCGCATTCTTAGCATCTCTCACTGGACTACAGTACGAATACATGTTTTTAGGTACAGGCAGAAGCCGCAGGCAGACATCGGGAAAATGCAAAGGATGCCGGGGAAACCCAAAGGATGCCAACGGTGAGATTATGGAGTGCGACATATGCCGCAGTACACAGCACTTTTGCCGCGAATGCCCTCAAGGTGATGGAAGAGGCAGGGGTCCGTCAATGCATCTGGCTCAAACCGACTCCGACATGCAGTATGTTGACTGGGAGTCTCTTTTAGCTGACCCTGCCGATAGCTCAGCTGCAGTTGTCAACTTCATGGCTGCCAGATATTTTGGCGCCAGTATGGCCCGCGAGAATTGCGCCGGGGAGCTGTTCGAGGAGGTGTTCACTGGCCACGGCGACATCGATCGGGCAGAATGGCTGGGCATGCCCGTCGCGGGGCAACCTGCAGATATCGAATTTGTTTAGAACTCCCACATGCCCGCCGACGGAAATGCTGACATGGCGGGGGCCCCCGCAGATTCAGAAGTTACCATTCCTGCAGCAGACGACGAAATGCAGTTGATGCGTTATCCTCGGGTTATTGGAAATCCGACGTATATGGAATTGAGTCATGATGATCCTTTGCGGGAAAGCCCGCGTGGCGCTAGTGATCTATCTGAGCGTATTCAATATCAGCTTGGCCATAGTGAAGAATTTCAATATGCTTTCGTTGCTTCAGATCGGTCCATGAGCCGCCGGAAGCGACCGGCAAGTCGCCGGGTCCGGAGGGAGAAGTATCGCGACGACGACGAGGGCGACGGATGGGAAGATAGTGGTCGCATGATACGTCGCGGTCGGATCCCCAGTCGCTCACCCGATCGTGCGCGTGCCCGCTCCAGTGGCGCTCGCTCTAGCGGTCTTCAGCGCCCTCATCCTCCTGATGCGGGAGCTCCAGAGGCGCCGCCATGGCGGGCTAATAGACCTGTCGCCCTCCCGAGGAGGGAGCGCTTGCGGGGGCGCCCGCCTCAAGATGATCAACCGCGGGAAGAATATCCAGATGGCGGAATGCAGCGCCTTGTTGGTTACGCGGACGCTGGATTGGGCTCGTCAGTGCACGCCCCCAGATAACATGCAATATAGGCGGGATCAGGGCTGGACTGAGCACCGGATCCGCCACTGGTATTCCCTTCGCAATGTTCGACGAAATGAAGAAGGCAAGATCGTACGCTCGAAAAGGACAGGATCTGTTAAACCACAAGATAAGATGGTCACGCGCAACCTCAAGAGGGTTATCATCGAGGAACGGAAGCTCTACATAAACGTTTGTTGCTCATGCCCCGAATGCGCCGGCCACAAGATTGGTTATCCCATGAGACGCCCATCAAGAAGCCTT